CAAATATAACTTGTCGATCCGTTGCAAGTCGGCTGAATTGAGAATTTATCATTGTATTAAACAATTCGACTGTCTTTCATACCACTGCTAAACAAACTGGCCGTTTTCCATTTAAGATCTTGAGTGCTGGTAGCAGATACCAACCATGATAGATGGTTGGTTTAGCCAGACGACATGAGCTGACCTGGATACATATCTTTTTTCGGTATGAACAACATATGCGTCCAAATTTGCTTAAGGACCAAGCTAAAAGAGCTGCTTCTCCGTGGGGATATAACGCCGGCCTACGCAATCAAATGATATAAACGCAGCTTAAGTTAGCAGCCACGTCACCATACGCATCCGATGTAGGTTCGTCACATTTTGGCTCCAACATTCAGACAGACCTATGCCTTTTGAAGATACTTTTACACATATATTCATGATAATGTCATCTGCCGCATTACGATGGAGTGTTCTGCTGGTTGTGGATGTATGAATGTTGCGTGGGTAAGAAAATATTCCTAAACAATATACTTGGACAAGCGTGCGCCTCAAGCCATTTCTGTGTGATTTTTAGTAGCTCTGGTTTCTTAGACGAAGAAAATTTTAAAATACCTACTCTACGTTAGCCTGCAGACTGATCACAAATTCGAAAATCAGTTGATCCACCAAATCTGATAGAAACCCGGCGACCTTCAAACCATTTGAACCAGCAACAGCGTACGCAGCCCCACACTGTAACCGCCTGTGTTCCGAGGATGCTGACTTCTTTTACACTTGTGCTCATTTACCCTAACCAAATACAGTACGCAAACTGCTATAGCAGGCTTTCCAATGTGATAATTTCCGACAATCAGGCCCATTTGTACTAGGTTCTTATTCGGTGTGAATAAGTTCAATGGCCCGGTAGTTAAAATCTCAGTGAGTCTTGTGTAAAAATACAAAGAATCTATCTGTCTGTCGGTTCAAGGTCGTCCGGCCGTTCTGAATGCCTAACTGACTGATTGACAGGTGGCGCTGAGAGCAGCCCTTGTTTTTTTACGGTTTTGACTTATCTGTCGAGTGTATAGGCTACTGGTTAAACGGAACTTTCGTTGGATGTCTGACTGTGCGGAGACTTAAATAAATACAATCAGCTGTGCGAACCGCGCAGTTCAAACGAACACGCCTGTGCCCTTTGAACAGGTTCAGGTGGCTTTGTCATTCACCGAACAGCGGACTCCCACGTCAGTCGGCGTTTGTCTAGACTGCCGCTGCGATCTATGCCAAAGTTATGCTGGTCCGTAAGAATGTCAGACAAAACAGGGTTGTGAGTAATAGTTTAGCCGCACAAAAGCAAGATGACAGAAAGGAGCAGATCTGTTCAGTAGTGAATCAGTGCTGAATGAAGTACTACTAACTGAGCCACCCACATACGTCCCGTTAAAACAATGCTATTTTATGAAAACGCTACCTCAGGCCGACTTGGTGACTCCAGTATTGCAAATTGGATTCTGGTAAGAATCGTTTGGATGTCAGAAATATGACTGGTCACTTGTCTAGCTACCCGAATTAGTATAATTTAAATTGGCAGTTAATTCCTCTCAAAGTATGCACAATAGGACTGCGCAGGCATAAGTTCGGATTAACTTGTCCAATAATAAATAAATGCTTTTCGTTACCAGCGCCTCACCACGTAAAGTAAAGAGCGGGCTAGTTTAAAAACAAGAGATACGAATGGACTTTTTAATTTGCTCGATATAGTAGTCCGTCCTTGGGACCTCAGTTCAAAATTTGCGCCCCTAAAGTGTTCGAAGCAAGCGAGGGTCTTTGCTCTTCCATAACTGCATGGCGTTCTGTTTGTGTTCGTAGACTTACGGTTTTTCGGCTGAAATGGTAGTCAATTTGCGTTTCCTCTTTGAGTGTTTTACAAATGCGGGAGAAATAATTGTCATCAAAACTCCGGTATAATTTCCTTAGTTTTTCCAGAGAACGCGAATTTAGTTTTTGACCAATATCCACCACCTGCTTTTTTCAGGCACCAAAAGCCCTCTCATTCCCCAAGCTCTGACGATATCATATAAGACTATTCATCAGTGTTAGTTGGTATCCCACCTAAATCGCGTCTTGTAAATTCCACCTCAGAAATACCGGCTCGAGTACAGAAACGCAGCCTTTCGAATCTTGCATGTGTTTGTTGGTCGCATAGCACTCAAAATTTCAGCTCAAATGTCATTTAGGAATCTAAGATATGAATTCTGCCGGGAGAGCATCTTGCAACTATTATGTTGACAACCTCGACAGCAAAATAGTCCGAACGTATTTAGTTGCAGCCCACATTACCGGACAACCTAAGCCACCAGATGGCATTTATGACTCTTTAAAAGTACAGAAGTTGACACTTTGCGGTCGCTTTGTCTGTGGAATTACCCCTAGTAAAGCCGTCCGGAATGTCAGAGTGGCGTTCAGTTTATTTTCGGAAAATGGGATGGGGATGCAGTCTGATGTTCAAGGAAGAGCGGAGCTTTGTAAGTGAAGAGCAAGAGTTTTGGACATGTGAGTATTTAGGCAGTTTGAGTTCTTTTAATAATCTGGTTTACGAGCGTTTATTCCAGGAAAATGTCGGTTCATTGACATGTATGGACTTCAACGTAGTCACCGCAGTTGTTTTTGGTTATGGGATATCGGAGTTGCATATAAACTGTTGCGAGTAATTGGAGTAAGGAGGGTTCTTTTTAACATGTTTGTTTCTTATGAAGGGACTGTAGACTTTCGCATTAAAATTGATTGTAAACATTGCCAGTATATTTTCATTACTCGTATGTTTACGTCTGCCCTCTAGTCCTGTGGACCTTTATGGTCGTGGACAAGAAGGAAACAAACTAGTTTAGACATCCTATAAGTTAAACAAGTCGCTTAAACGTAGTATTAGATTGACTATGGATTCAGTTTTAGCTCTGCCAAAACAAGGTATCTAACCGTTTCCTGTACTGCTCATTTCGAGCGCGGACTAAGCCCGCGTAACATCCTTCTGATAGTACGTTGAAATGCTTGACTGTTTTTACCTATTAAACTCAAATAAGCGCTGCGGCTGAAAGGACGCCACCTCAAAGCAGCAGAAGATCGTGAGTTGATGCGTAGGTATGTTCGAGGATATGTAAGAGTTAAATTGCAGTAGGACATCAGTTTTGTTGGTCTACAGCGATTGACTTGTGCCAAACTGTAAGTAAGTGACTTTCCAGATTGGAATCGTACTCAGTTACGTTTAATGACTATGACGTGGACTAAGATACATCCAGATATTTAAGAGTATCCTATTATCAAAAACTGTTTAGCCAGAGTTGCTGTATAAATGCTGTGTTTACCTCCATGAGCGTTGTAAGTAAAGCTCATTTCAAAAATGGAACCAAAGTGTTCCTTGGGAGACACTGGTATGCACAAATGGACGGAAACCGATAGTACTTATCATCAGGAAAAGTGCACCTTTGGGCAACGAACTACGGCAAACTGGTCTTCTTGCTGCTTTTCAAAATTCAGCCGCGTTAAAGTGAATTTCCTAATAAGTATCAGACCCATCAGGTAAATGTTGCTCCTATGAAATTTTCGCCTTATCTCATGGTTTCAAATTCAATAAAATATCACTGTAAAATTGCCCAGCTGTATAAAATAAGCACTCACATAACTGACTTTTACGCTTACATAGTGGTTTGCGTACATATTAATTGATCTTTAAACACGAGCTCTATTAGTTAAAGTCACATGAATGCAAGCTGGTTTTGAACTCTTGTAAACGTTTGCATCCAAAAATGCTTGCATTGTGGCTTAAGTAAATGATGAGTTCATTCCTATTAATATCATTTCAACAGGTAAAACCTCTCAAAGAAAATGCCCGGAATATAAAATTTGGAAATATTTCAAAACACCTATAAATTTAAAGTACTTGAAATAGAAATCAAAATATTTAAATAAGGGGTTTAAGAAAACTGCGGCTCTTCAGATGGCGCTACTTATAGGTAAAACGGAGGAATACCGATTCACAAAATATGCCCCATCTTTCAGTGCACATTAAAGATGACGATTACGATACTGACAAAACATATCTCTTACAAACAGGTCGACCAGCATCTACACCAACAAAACAGCCCGGAAACAAGCGATTTTTGCCTATTTGCTTACTTTGTTTCGTACGTCAGCATTGCCTGCTAAGTCTATGTTGACGTCGCATTGTTCTAATTTGAATTTTATGTCGTAAACGTTGTTTAGTTTCACCGTGAACTAATTTTCGCATTTCTACAAATTAGTCCTCCCTACTTAAGGGGCATGCTACAAACTTAACGTCAGTGAAAGCAGTGGAAGTTTTGAGTACTTAAAATTCTGTGAGACGTAAACTTAAAAAATAATGACCGGCTTTGCTTTGTCATTAATTTTTATGTTGAAATTATCTATCTTTTAGCAAATGCGAGTATCCACTGAATTAGGTATATTCATTTTCTCAGTGGTCGTATTTATCTAAATATTATATCGAAACTGATGGATGTATCTACGACAAAAAGATCCTGCTTTTCTCCGTATGACTGTGAAATAAGACCTTACAATTGGAGTAGTCAAATACTTCGTTCTCTTCCCATTTACGAGGGTCAAAGACAACACATTATCAACCTATAATATGCTTCCCTTAATGCCAAGAAGGCGTGCTCGATTTGATTGGCGCAGCTGCCATTGCCAGTATGGCTGTCTGAAGCTGAGGTCCAGACACGGTATAAAAGCCCACAATGTTGGCCCGACATCACGCGTTGGCAGTAGAATCAGCCAGCCTTACAGTACTGTTTGAGTTCGAAATGCTTCAGACATCGCTAGAAACGCTACATTTTATGCCTGATGCCTTCTACGCAGTGAGGTCTGACACTATCAAGCATGGGAAAGATAAACAATGCCGGAGCTGTCCTCTGAAACTGCAGCAAACAAAAACTGTAAACCGTCTTGGAAATCAGTTTTGCTTTCTGTTCGGGTTTGCACCAATTCTTCTGATTTTAACAGCCATGGCAGAGATTTGTGAAGGTAAGCGGAAAAGTAATGTCTTCTGATGAATGTTTTACTTTAGTCTTGTTGATATAAAGATCTATGAATTTTCTTTCGCAGGCGGCAGCTGTTTCAGACTACGCCTAGAAAATGGTCTGTGCCACAATATGCTGGCTAAAAATGATATGTCTCGCGAGGACTGCTGTGCTCTAGGGGGTTTTTTCGTGTCGGAGGCGATTTCAGAGGAACAATATGTACGGGATATCCTCCTCGCAAAAGAGGGTGTTGCAAGATGCGAGTACGCATGCTCGGACCGTAAGTCAGCAACTGGGCGAACAACTAGCGAGTTATTTTTTATTTTAACTCACCTATGAGGTTTTAACAACTCTTGTTGAACATTACTTACTCATGTGAAAGCCTACTATGCATCCTAGCTTGTCAGAACCGTAGTGTCATCTAGATGGCCTAAATGTCGCAGGCGCCGATGTTCCGCCTAAATTCAGTTTGCATCGACGCTTTTTGCAGTATTTTCAGTAGCATGGCGATCATCTGTTCATCCTTTAGATAGGACATGTGCATCCAAGCCCTGACCTCTGCAATCCATAGCGTGGAGTTATTGCATCCCTAATTTATATTTCTTATGTAGATGTTGTCGCTCGGACCAAGTTTTCGGAGTGCACTAAAATATACAGAGTTACTTAGCAAGTAGCGATGCAATCTCCCACTGCCTGGTCGCTGATCAAACGTTTCGTCGCATGTCCTTTGATTTCGACCTGATTGGTCACTTTCCAATTTTCTTCCAGTCACCATAGTCTTAAACATAGCTTGCAAGCTGCACACAGTTTCTGCGGGCGTACAGCGGAGAGATGTATACAAAATCAGGCTGTTTAGTGTCAGCAAACTATTTAACACATCGGACGCCATATGTCTGTCTTCCTAATCCACCTATTTTTTTCAAGGAGTCTTCGAAACCTGCCAAAATATTCCATGCGATACTGGATACAAGTGCGTTGTTCAGGGACACCGTGCAGTCTGTGAATGTGCCACCGAATGCACGGCTCTGGACTACCTCGATGGGCCAGTTTGCACGACAGATTACGGAAGATTTAGAAACCGCTGCGACTTCATCCGTGAACGCTGCAGAAAACAAAGTCGAATGCTCGAGGAGGCCGTATGTCCTCCGACTGAGAGTGTTTGTTGGCTGGCGAGTCGCTACAATTCTGCCGATCGCGACGACGCCTACACTGGAATCAACGGCGTTGGACTGATTCGACAGTCGGTGAGTCATTCAATGAGTTCATGCTCGGAAGTCAGTCCACTGCTTTTGCGGAAATTGATAATGTTCTTTTTTCTGCAGTCAATAGGAGACGCTATTTGCTTCGTTTATTTTGACCGTCTAAATACATTCCTCCTTAAAAACTCCCCAAAGCTACATATTGCTTAGGAGATCTTGTAGTTTTTATTGCCTGTTCTGTGTTAGAGAGCAGCGGTGAACAAGCACAAACGCTGGAAACGTTTCATCCTATCGTTTAGACTGTTGCAGTCAAAATTTGAGATAAATAAAGACTGATAGTCTTATTTGCTAGCAGCCGGTAATCGTGATCTTACATTAGATATTACACTGCAGTTGGCCAATTCTCACTCAGTCGAACTACTATTCAGTCGGCAAGTTAACTTGTTTAACGGCATGACTTCAAACACTTCCTTTTAACAATATGACCCTGTGTTCCTTCAAGGATTCGAGTAATTGTCGTCATTTTCTATGTTTCCACGTGCACATCTGTGTGGCTGTTGATCATTAATGTTGATCAAACAAACCTAAGCAGACAGACGGATTGCCTTCGTTGTCGATATAACGGAGTAGTGGATTCCAAAAACTGGAATATTAGAAGAAAGTAATCGAAATTCGATTCAATGACAGACAGATCAGCCTGCGTTGCTTTTATAAATTTCTTAAGAAAAAACAACATTATTAACTGTGAAATGGACTGTCAGGGATTCAAAAAGTCAAACTACTGGGCTCTACCGTTTGTTTTCGCTAGTAAGCTTTCGTAAACAGGCTGATCGGCTGTGCCGCGCGTTCCTTGTCTGTGTAATCTCTAAATGTCCCATAAATTGCCGCAGGAAGTAATCTGGTTGCTAGGACTAGAGATTAAATCAGGCGTATCTGCTAAAAAGATTTGCCGTGTACTTGCGCTGATTCAGTTGTTCAGTAATTGAGTAAGCAACCGCTATGAAATATGTTTTTGCGAATGTATTTTTGAAACCTTTTTAGAAAGTATGTCCGGCATCTCAGGTCTGCCTTATTCGCCAGTACAGTGGACAGGCAAGCTGCGAGGAACCAAACTGGCTTGGACCAACACAGAGTAAATTTGGTCTCTCCAGTCTCGAATTTGGTGGCCTTTCGGAAGACTTCTCGGAATGCACAAACGATCAGTTCGGAGTGCCCATCTGTGCCACCAACAACCGGACCTACCGGAACCAGTGTCAACTCAGGCAGGCGAGCATACGGCTTGGTATGGAAATCCGAATAGCGTATCTTGGAGTTTGCAATGGTAAGAGTTGGTTCCTGAGACAATAATTTGGAAGCGAAAAATAGAGTTTGTTCAAATGCACTTGAAAAATGTAGCGACAATGTTCGATGAAACTGGGAGCTTAACTGACTTTAACAAAACAGACCGTGCGAAAGCGAACAAATGGCAAAAAGAGCGGCAGTTTTTTGGGACTATCTTGGAGCAGCGACGTCTTCCTCAGTAGCCAGCACCACACGCATTAATGTTTATGGAGGTATTTTACAAAGGAAATGTTGCCCAGATATGTTGGGCTTTTGAGCAAAGACTTCGGGGTTAGACGGTCGGGTTTTAGTTCTCGCGAAAAGGACTAAGATACAATGATAATTACAACCCGTTTAAGCGACCTCACCACCAAACTGACGCATTCCCCTTTACCAATCTCGCGCTATGTTGATCATCTGGTTGCAGACTTGTTGGCCGAAGGGTGAGGTAAAGCCTCCTAGGATTCCTAGGCATTTTTCTTGAACAGCAATAATTGACTGTCGAGCCTCATTTGGGAACATTTTTTCGTGGGGGGAGGGGAGGAGGCATGGAATCATTGGATTGGGAGAAGCCCGGCAATCCACGCGCCAACTCACTAGTTACTTTAAGCTGTATTTACGATTACTACCAGAGGTGTAATTGAAAGAGAAACGATATCTCATGAGACAAACAAAACCTGATGAACATTCTTCTACCAACCTAATGTTAAAAAAGATGGCGACATGTGTATCTTACTGAATTAATTGTAATTTCATAAAGAGATCGAGGCCTTTGGAGCAGTGCAAGTACTGTCATATTCTTGAGAGAGTGTTCACATCTTGAATTTAACCGCAACGTGATTCCCTTATATCTAATTATCAGATGAGAGTGTAGGATATCTCACCTCTTTGCAAAGGCCTTCTATATTTTTGTATAAACTACTGATCTGCAGGAAATTTTGGCTGTATCGAACGAGATGTAGAGACAAGACATGTCTTCTTTGGCTCAAAAAGGGAAAAGGAAAACGGACATTCGACAGATGTGGCGAAAATGGGTCCAGTCAACGGATGCAACTGGACTTCCCCTCCCTCTTCCCAGATTGTTCGCCCATCCTGGTGACCCAATTTGCGGCAACTGCCGATCCCGAACTCGTTTCCTCCCAGATAGTCTGGTTCCCGGATCTGCTCGAAAGGTGTACTTTAGGGCGCATCTAGGTATACGTTCACAGAAGTACCACATATTTCCTTGTTTACCAGAACCCAAGCGTGGAGATGTTCCCATATCACTGTCAAAAAACATAAGGAAATGATTAAAATCCTGTCTTCGAATGCAGGCTCAAGAACACAAGACAAACAAGGAAGATTCACTAGAAATGCGCCAAATTTAGGTCCTTCTGGCTAGGGAAGATCTTAGAGACGTTCAGCAGCTCGGAGTTTTTGTGACTAATTAAAAATGCCGATTTATAATGTTGGGGTTTGAATCTTTGAGTCCTTAATTTTGCTGCAGCTGCCTCGCCATTTATGGACTTTTTAAATGATACCCTGTAGCCTCAACAACTTGCGAGAATATTCGGTGTCAGAGCAAGGATATGAACTGCACGTACCATCATAAGACTCGTCAGCCCGTCTGCATGGACTGTCAGAGAAACCCACCAAATTGCAACCCTATTATCTCTTCGCACCTGAGTACCCGGACGTCGTTTCAGTTAGCCCAGCTGACTCAACGGCGGACTCAGGTATTCGGGGATCCCCGTTGGCACGGCAACGTGGTGACCAATGACTGGCCTCTTGTCTGCGGCAGCAACGGACAGACCTTTCCTAATGCCTGTTTTCTACACGTCTACAGCTGTTTGACCCGCAAATACATCGAAATGGTCTCTGTTGGATCCTGTTCGGGTCAGTGCTAAGCGAAGTTTATTTCTTGTCCTTCTAGACAATTTCGAACAAACTTTAATGGGAATGAAAGCTTAAAATGAAAAGCAAAACGGCAGAATGTTTGGATTTTGTTCATACTGCTGCTATGTTTAATAGTTCGGAGAAAGCGATCTAACATATTATGATAGAAGGTGTTTTCGAGGCATATACCCTTTGCTTGGCTGACTCTGCCTAATAATGATAACAAGTAAACTAGGAAAACCCCCACTTTAACCTCAACCCAGTCTAGAGATCAAGGTATAAACAACCCCATACAATGCCCCCAAAAATGTCTCTGGGTATACTAAAAAGGTTATAATGCTTTTTTTATTAATCCACGATGCTCAAAATATGGAAAAACCCATTGTCGCGTCCGAAAAATTTTACCACAACCTCAACTGACACAAATTTCAGGTCTGCTTCTTATTTTATAGGATAACTGATATTCAAGAAAAACGATATAAGTTTTTAAACATCAAGCAGCTTACATTCCGCACACTATATTAAAAATCGCGCCAAACATGCGTCTTGCTGAAAAACCGAAAAAATAACATGATCGTGAAAGAGTGTCATCAGCCGTTTGTGCATTAGCAAACACTCCAGAAATAACTGAAGACGAGGTTGCATATATAGAGAATGTATACAATTTTCGGGACGACCTGGACCACTAGTTAAAATGTACTTACTGAAAGTTACTGTTTTCCAAATGAGCGGATTTGTTTCTGATTACAGTTGCTATGATACTCATTTTTTACTACATCTGTATAGATAGCAAAAAGCTGTGACATCATTATTTTGGCCTTTTCAGTTCCCACTCAGTTAATTTAATACATGACTATCATTTAGGAACAGAAAGAGAAACATCCACACATGTATATCAGAAAAGAGGAACCATTCACCTATTTGGATACGAAGCAAAACATGCTCGTGACGTTATGCTGTAGAGCTATGTCAACAGCTCTAAAAAGCACTCGTGTGAGGAATAGCAATTATTCGCGATAATTACTAGCAAGCAAGACAAACCGGGATCACAATATTGTGGGCTGTTAGACGTCGTTGGCCAGCCTGTCTGTGACTTCTGCCTCATATTCAGGATCTGCGTGGTTCGGACAACCAACAGATCGGTGGACGTCGATTCTTGTTCGAATAAATACCATATCTATAAAGATAGGTACCAAAAGATTGCAGAACTCGGAAGAACTTTGTTTCGATGAAGTGCTTCTGACGTTCTCAATAGAATATGCACCGTCTGCGCCGTGTAACTGAGTGTGTTCGCCTCTATTGTCTCACATGATAGCCAAAGTTATGACCAGCTGAATGTAGGCAGAATAAGTCTCAAACGATTCTGTACCAATCTACCCTCGTCATCTGTCCTCTCCCATCCGATACATATATCTATACTTGTTAAAAGAAGCAAGGTTGCGCGCCCCCAGACATAATAAGGGACCATGAACACGTTTCCCTGAGTACAAAGACAGATCCATTTTATTAACGCCTTCTTGCCTTGACCGCCACTCCTCTGCAAATACCCACCTCCAAAGATGAAATTATGTTTTACTTGGAAACAAAAGGGGGGCGCAGTGATGCTTCCCCGTTTTTCTCGTCCATGAGGAAGCCGAGCAGACATATCTGGGACCAGCTGTATACTCATCCGATGTTTCTAGCTCCCACGCCAGGGGATAAAGAAAATGTACAGCCATCTGTATGCAAATGTTGCATGAATCACTCCACTGACAGCACAGGCCCTCACTAAAAGCCCAGACACATGTTTTGCCAATTTTAGCTATGACCTGTGCTGACAGTATGGTGAATCAGGCAACATTTGCATACTACTGACTGTCTGTTTGCAGCTTACGAATATTACACGGTTATCGGGGGGGACTGGCTGATTTCACCCTGAATGTTCCATGCCAACCTTCGGAGCGAGCCTTAACAGATTTGGCCTCTCGGGAATTGTTGGAGAAGTAATTGCCGGGGAAATTGGAAAAAGTCGGCTGCATATGTAACTCAGCTCCGTCTGGCAGATTTTTTCAAAAACACAGACGAAAAGTTATAGGAGATAACTTATGTTGCCGGGGTTTTCGAAGAACTTTCCAGATTGATAGACTGAGTCGCGACTGACAGACCAGAAAAAGCAATCCGTCGCCAGCCCTTGCACCCTAGGGATCCAAAACACAGCAGTCTACATCTACCGCATAGAACCCAACTACGACCGAGTCGTCTATGCTGGCAAAACCGGTAAACAAACATGAGCTGGCAGTGAGACCGAAAAATAATCTGTCCTTAATGGCAGCATTCTCCTCCTTGTGAGGGCATACCATTGCTCTCTAGGGCGTGAAAATTGTGGTGATTTAAATGGCCTCAACTAACAGACGTATTTATCTGTTAGCAGTTTGACAGGCGTCACACGATCAGACCAATGACGTCACCGAAGATCGTTTCCGACAAAGGAAGGTTAAATGTATAGCTACCTAGACTGGGTGTTTGAAACACCGAACAAACAAACAACTGGTCCCAGCTATCATCCTTTCGTCTTCCTCTTCAGTTCATCTTGCAGGGATTCGCGTTCTTCTGTTATTTTAAATACAAATATGCAGGCAAGGATGCCGACAAATGTTAGAAACACCGGTATGGCTGTTTCTGACGCATTAGCCGTTGTCGCACCCCCCCCCCCAAACGCGGTCTGCTTTGCTCTTTCTTGACTTTGGGTTCAAGTTAGGAGGAGAGTGTGCGATAGATGCTTTGCAGGTCTACTATCACCATAAACTAACGCACGCGCAAATCACCATGTCTGCAACACCTTGCTGTGTAGCACACGGTGAACACCGTCGAAATCGACGGTCGAAATGTCAGCCGTCGTCATTCAACTTGCCAAACTCCAGGTTGGGCAATCTGGGAGCTGAATTTGGATTTCTTGATCACCGGTCATAAATTTCAAAGTTCTACCTGCACGATGTACTTACGATCCACGATCTCCATGCAGCATAACAAAACAGGAGTAAAAGTCATAGGATGCTTTTGTTCAGACAGACAGGTACAGCAGGCGGATTTGCTCGCCAACAATGCAAGTCAAGAAATTATATTGTTCGGTGTTTAAATCAGTTCTTGAATTAGTAAGTCCAAAAGAAAAAATTATCAAGCAGAAATTGAGTTTGTCTCCGATGACTGGCGTAAAACATATAAGCCTCCTCTGTGCACAGCATATTCCCCCAGCACACGAAACTTTTGCTCGAGACTGGGGCTGCGCTGGCGGTACTGCACGCAATTAAAACGGAAGTCCCGTGGTGGGAAAGATCCAACCACTTCCTCACGGTGGTATATTATGTGAACAATATAAGTTCATGAAATATTCAAAAGAATGGTGAACTGGCATCCTATGACAGAAAAATGCCACTTAGTGCTGCGCGCACTCTAAATTAGGAAATCACGTAGGATATTTCGCCATATATTACTGTGAAATAAATCGACGTATTAAACTATATGTTTTCGCTTCAGTAACCTGTTAGGGTATCCGTGTTCAAATAGAGCTTATAGCTGAATAACATACTGGAAATCATCAAAGATTTCCATTAGTTGAGGCTTGTGCCACTGTGACATGATTCGAGGAAATTTGTTCAAAATTGCGATTTTGTCTCCTTTAGAGTGAAATTTCCTATCGGAGGTCATGAACAATGCCCTGTATATATTCGTTTCTCATGAAAACAGACGCATTTAGCAGGATTTCCATGGGGAAACTTTAAACCAGAGTGCATCCACTGTCATTTCGTCCTGCCTACATACGCTAAGAGCCATTCATTCTTCCGAACGAAGGACGACAGGTTGGAGTTCAAGATCATCGCACCGCTCAAGCGGCCACACGCAGGATATGCCTCAAACTTCATTTTTGATGTGCACAGCTACGCCACCAGAATCCAACTATCGATCCCACCATTGCAGACCTGCGACCATACGCATATGTCATGTCCAGTCCTCACATTTTCTTCCTGTCTCAGAATGAAAACATTTTGATGTTGGTAACTTTGCAGAACACCTGCCCCGTTTCATTCCATTTAAGGACATTTTCAATCAGTTCCAATTTTATCCCTACAATTATTTCATATTTTGGATGTTGTATCTTGATTTTTTGGGGCAGAGCGCCAGCCGAAGAAGATGAACTATAAAGTATAAAAGGATTTTTCGATAATTTGTTTGTTTTGAATAAACTATTTTCCACAAATTTGCCCACACTTCCTATGATGCCTCTGAAGCTCTAAGTCAATCTCTGCACTTGCTTCATGATCCCTTACTATCAGGAGAGAAGGTCCATTTCTGTGGCAACAGTTTTTCATGAGGTGAAAAAAAATCGCGCTTGTTAAAGGGATTTTAAATGGTACAGACAGAGTGTAAACCCTTCTCTGGAAATCTAGAGCTTAGTTCGCCAGTGAATTTAGTTAACTTTGCCAATATTACCCGTCTGGTGGGGTTGATTTCTACAGATTAGCCTATTTGTCTGAAGACAATGTCAGTTTTTTTCAAGAAACGCTCTGCCTCTATACAGGGAACATGAGCAGGTTACCTGAAGGCAAACGAATCTGACTCTGCATCTGACTATGCTGTCAGTAGTGGCAATTAGTTCAAAGAGGACTGGACCCCTCGCCAACCCTATATCATAACCTCAGATTCATCCTTTACACCTGATATGCCTTCCGACCCTTAAATAGTTTCTGTGTCCCGCACGACCGAGCGTGCGAAAAAGACGTCTCCCATGCAGCCCATTTTCTTATCCAATTTGCTAAGTAGTCAAGTTAATCATAAAATACGACTGCAAACGCTTCATTACCTAGGGCGAGTAAACCTGACCCAAACGTGATTAAAACTGCGTTGTCCGTTGGGGCCCCGTAGTTCAAATGGTTAGAGCGTTGGCTATACTAAAGCCTCCCCTTGCTGTCGTGGGTTCGAATCCCATCAAGTCACAGAGTTTTTCACGGTTGGGTCAAAGTGAATTATTTGAAATCTGCCAAAAGACCTAGGGTAGGTTTATAAAAAATAGGATTTCAAGCAGTTTTCTGGGAGAAATTCAATAGTCGCCTGTGTTTTGAGAACCATTTAGTTCTATGAGCCTGAACTCAGTAAAACGCATAGTATGCTGGCTGGTTCAAGTGAATTCCTTTATTTTTATGATTTAAGACACCTAATCTAATTAATGCCATCGAATTTTGGAAGTCCCTGTAAAAGCGCTTATGCATCAATTAATTTAGAACATTAAAACACAAAGAGCGATATTTTCGCCTAGAAAAATATTTTGACTTGTTAAAGGAGTCTGCATTTAATATAGGCCACATTTACCTGTGACAATGGCAAAAAAACAAACAATTCCTGCTGTAATTTAAAAAAAGTTAAGTTTCAACATTTTTCGCGCACGTTTAAGTGCTTGTTTGCAACAAATGACGAAGGAATACACGTTGACTGCAACAATTAACACAGGGGTGAACATTTTTCATTTATTTGCCGATTGACATTAATGTTCCAATCGATGTTCAGACAGGCATCCAGTCGATGATGAGTACTTTAATCAAACGCTCTTACTATACAGGCTACTGGATACCCGCCATATTTATTGAATTACTGTACGCACTGTCGAAAAAATGTCCACTCATTTAGCAACCACGCTTACAGGACAGGAAGTGAATGTCCACCTTGCACTGGTAAGGGGGATTGAATGGCGATCCGTAATTACTACTCGATAGGTATTTTCAAAATGGAAACGGTGCAGACAAAAGACTTCAATAATATGAGGCGGGACAGGAAACCCGAAAAAAACCCTCCGGTTTGAACGGATGCCTGGCCATAATCTGTATTTCAATCAAAGCTGGATTAGATGCCCGTAGTTAGCAGCCAGTGTATATATAATAGCTGGCTGTATATATACTGGTATGGCTGGCTGACGACGGCTACTAGGCCAGAAATGGCCATTCCAGTCTCCCTTGTCTTTGTCCGTAATGTCATTCTGTTTATATCATGCGCTCCTGTGCGGCTGCTGGTTGGGCTCGAGAGAGAGCCCGTAAGGCACAACGGAACGAGTGAGTTCCGTAAGGAAGATCGGTGAGCGCCCCCTACCATTGTATATTCCCGATCGAAAACCGACGAGGCAACGGGCTCGTGGACCGGTGGATAGAGGCGTGGATTTCTAGAAACAGGTCGCGAGTTCGAGCCCTGCGTGCTCCACACTTCGGGGTTGGGTATGGCTGGCTGACGACGGTTAATAAGCCAGAAGTTGCTATTCCACTCTCCCTTGTCTTTGTCGGTAATGCCATTCTGCATATACTAACTATGCTTAATGGGATTAAATTAAACCAAAGTGTTAAAATAAATCAACGTGTTGCTCCGATGCTATCTCGGAGGTATAGAACAAACTGAGGTAGTCGGACGCACTTGGATAAATGCAAAATACGTCATCCAGTTGTCAAATTGCGGCAATCCCCACTGCATATCTCAGACAAAGCGCATTTTAATCATTGGACTAGCGCGATATGCAAAGGCACGTTTCTCGTGCAAAACCCTATTAAGTTTGTCTATTAAGTTGAAAGTTCAGTATTATGTGTTAAGACCAAAGAAACCTTACATTTAGGCGATTTAAACGTCAGTACTTGACTCTCACCTAATTGGGATATTTGCATTTTCACTGCATAGGGCATAAAAGAGAAGATTTGCGAAACATGGACTTCATCCAAGCACTTCATCTGTAATTATCTACCTTCCTATTTCTGTCGCTAAAAATAATTTTTTATTTATTCGAGGACGGGCACACCAAGTCAGATTGGCTTCCAGGAGAAATTAACACATTTCGAATGAAGTGAGTGACCGATCTCATGAAATTTGGCTGAAACTCTCGAACAAGTTTTCGATTAAAATGGATGAATTGCGCGGGGCTGTTATACTAATTATCGTACAGCATAACCCTATACAATTTGGGACTCGTCAGGACGTCGGACTTTGAATACACTGCTTTTCAATCTCCTGTAGAAACCATACTCGATACAAAATGACTACTTATGTAGCATGCGTTTTCCTCGTTGATTTCGATGGTTTCGCAAATTCAAATATATCTTATAGAAACCATAAACAAAATTATGCTTTCTTTCAGTGAGTTAATAGATAATTACGCATTCTTGAAGAAGGACACACGATCGCTGGGACAACAGCTTTATTAGCCCGACGTTTCGGATTCCTACTCGAATCCGACATCAGAGACAACGGCAGATACGGATGATTCATGCACCAGGGGCTGCAGAATTAATAGGATGCAGTCGCCATGCTACCGCATTCTTATGAACATTCACGACTCCCCCCTTCATCCGGGATCGGTGCGCGTGGTGTGTCAATTGTTTGATGGTCGTCGTTAATTGCCGCAATTTCATTACGTGCGCTGAATGTTGGTTTGATAATTGCTGGATCATCTGACGCACCGATTCTGGTGTTGGGGAAAGTGTTCACCTGTGCGCTCCGTGCGTGGCCAATTACTCCGCCTAGCCGAAGTCTCAGCACCGAGTATGGAATGGGAAGATCATTGCACTTGTTAATGGACTGGGAGCCAGTAAACCATGATTCAAGTAGCTCCCGGCTCACGCGGCTGTCACCTCTTGCGAGAATTTTAACCTCACCGAATTTGAATGTGTGGCCGGATCTCGTCGAATGAGCCGCAACTTGGGAGCTGGCGTCATTTCTCCGTACCGCTGCAGCGTGTTCGACCATTCTCGTTAGGAGCTGTCTTCCGGTATCTCCGTCGTAGTTGCTTTGTCCGCAACTGCACCGGATCCGATAAACGACTCCAGACATTTCTGGCCAAGGTAGCGGGTCTTTCGGTTTCATTAACTGACGCCTGATGGTTGCCTCCGGCCTGTGTGCAACTCCAACCCCAAGTGGGGCGAGAAGGTGGTCAACAGCTTCCGAAACGTTCTTGACATACGGGAGCGCTCACCAAAATTGGTTGTCTGTGTATTCAGGCCTTTCGTCCCTTTTGCGTATGAACCGGTTGACGAAGTTGCGCGGGTAACCATTGGCTTTGAAGACCAGTCGGAGCTATTGTAGTTCGGCAATCTTGTCTTCCGGCTCACTCCAGTGAGTTTCGACACGCCGATAGAACGTCTTTACACAACTGTGTTTGTGGCTGATTGGGTGGTTGCTGTTTAAGTTCAGTAATTGCATCGTATTTGTAGTTTTCCTGAACACTTTGGCCTTTAGTCCACCACAATCTTTGTGGCGTAGAACGACATCCAGTAAGGCCAGGTGGTTGTTCTCGTCCTCCTCCATCTTAAATTGTATGTCCGAGAGGACCGCATTCAGACGTTCCTTGAATGTCAGCAATTGATCCCGGTCGACAACGACGAAGGTACCATCCAAATACCGGGCTCAGAACTTCGGTTTGTGGTGTTGGAAGTACAGCGACTCTAACCGTTTCAGGACCGCCTCGGCGATGAACCTCGAAATCGGCGAACCCATTGGTGTGCCCTTCACCTGTTCGTAGATTGTCCCTTCGAACGTGAAGTACGTCCTGAGACTGAGCTTCAGGTGCTGAAGGGCTTAGGTGTGTCCAAGACGATTCTCCGTTTCATCGTATTGGCCTTGTTGTAGCGGCTCGATTGTCTCGAGCGCCAGGTCCTGGGGAAT